GACGAGGCGACATTTCGTGAGGCACCCACGCCATACTACACACAGGTTCCAACTCAATTTCTACATAGTCAGAATGATGCCCTCGACTTTGTCCCTATGCCAGTGTATAATCCGACGGTCAATTTGGAGGTGGGTATGACGTTCTCATCGAAGGACGCTGTGCATGATGCCTTTACCGAAGAGGCCTTGATCCGCAATTTCGAGTGGAAGGTAAAATATTCTGACAGTAAACAATTACATGTCATATGCAAGAATGATGCAGAGGGTTGTACGTGGCAACTGCGGGCTGCAAATATGAAGAGAAAGGGTGCCTGGGTGATTCGAAAAGCCGAGACCAACCACACTTTCTCCTCGTCCGTACGTTCCCAGGATCACAGGCAACTTAAAGCAAAGAAAATTGGGAGAACTATTAAACACCTTATCGAAGCACAACCAGATATCAAGGTCAAAGCTATCATGGCCGAGGTGAAGGATCGACATTCTTACACGATAAGGTACAAAAAAGCATGGCATGGGAAGCAGAAAGCCATGACTGAGGTGTATGGTGATTGTGAGGATTCGTATGCTTTACTCCCTAGACTTATGGCCGCATTGGAGGAGTCCAACCCTGGGATTGTTTTCGTGCTAGTATACAACAATGTATACACTGAGGATCAAGTTCGAGTACAGGAGAAGTTGATGTTTCACCGTATTTTTTTGGCTTTCAAACCATGCATTGACGAGTTTGCGTTCTGCATACCGGTTATTCAGGTATTTTAAAACATGTTTACTATTTAAAATGTTTATATTCTTGCTGACCAAGTAAATTTCATACTAATTAGGCGCTGATATTTAATTAGGTTGATGGAACCTTCCTCACTGGGAAGTACAGAGGAACTCTTCTCATTGCCACTGGCGTTGATGGAAACATGCGAATTTTCCCGCTTGCATTTGCAATAGTGGAAGGGGAGAACAGCTTAAGTTGGACATGGTTCTTTGACCAACTACACGAACACGTGACACAACGGGAAGGTTTGACGATTATATCCGATCGACACGCGGGGATTAGGAATGCTGTGGGTGGTTTTCCCGACGAGTGGGGATGGACATGGCGTTGGTGTATTCGACACTGGCTCGCCAATTTCCAGCAAAAATTCGGAAAGAAGAAAGACATCAAAAATCAACTGTGGCATGCAGGTACTAATGTCCTTTAATGCGAGTTCTCTATGTGTTTAATAAATTTTTGTTAATCATGTATTTACCATTTCTATATTGTTCACCTTGCAGAGGTTGCACATCATCCAAAAAAGTACGAGCAGAAGATGAAGACGATCCATCAGACTCACCAAGCTGGAGCAGTATAAATAGTGGAGATGTCATACTGGAAGGTCAACGAGTGGCGGGTGGCTCGGCTACAGCTAGCGATAGGGAGGGAGATTTCTGGTCATCCGATAGCACATGACGTTTTTGAGCAAATGCAGAAGAACGAAGAAAAATCAAGTAAGCATAAAGTGGTTCTTTTCAATCGCAGTGAAGGGATATTTGCAGTGGAAACAGGTGTATGGGGTGGAGGTAGACGTGGCCACAATCGTCAAATGGTTACTCTGCACTATGAATCAGGGGAGTGTACATGTCAAAAATATCAAAACGAGAGGATACCCTATTCACATGCAATGGCAGTGGCTAAGTCATTAACCATGAATTAAATTTAATTTAGACTAAGTACGGAATAAATTAAATTTAAATCTAGCTAAGCATGGAATAATTGTAAATTAGGCTAAGTACGGAATAAACTTACTTGACATCGTAAGGGGGATTTTGCAGAAAGTTTAGCTCATCATCCGCTCTCCGGTATGGACGTGGGTCTAGAGGTGAGAACATTGGAAGATGCTCCCATACCCACAGCTGTAGGATAAACATCGCAGCACCAACTTGTTTTGCTCCCACCTTCGAGCAAGTGCACAGCTCCCGGTATAGGCCAGCTAACACGGCCGATCCCCAACTCTTCTCCCCGATTGCGTCCCAGTCACCAGTGAGCAATGGCAACCATATGCCTTGAATCCACCGGTTTGACTTGTCGGGGAACAGAAATCCACCCACCAAACCAATGAGGTAGATGCGTGCATAGCGCTCCACTTGATCTTCCAGAGTCTCGTCATTGATTTCCACCTCATTGTGGATGTGAGTTACCAGCCATGGGATCGACACTTGTCCCGCATTCAACGATGGATGCCCCCGTCCTTGAATTGGTGTGGTGGTTGGCATGTCAAATCCCAATTCAGCAAGAATGAGTGGCCACCAACCTCCTTCGGGTTTGGTAGTGGAACCAATGATGGCATCTCCAGAAATCGGCAGCCCGGTGAGGATCGCCACATATTTGAGGGTGATCGTCATTTCCCCCTCCGGAAGGTGGAACGTATGGGTTTCGGGACGCCATCGCTCCGCCATTGCCGTGAGCAGATCGTTGTCGATTTTGATCCGCATGAAATGGCGCAACATACCCAACCCGGCCCTCTCTATATAGGGCGCCAACCGTGGATGCCAAGCGGGGAAGTTTGTGGTCCCTTTATGAACGACGGGAATAAGTGATTCCTGCAAAAAAAATAGGAAAAACATCAATTTGTTAGTTTAAATAAAGCAAAATAAAACCTTAGAAAATAATAAAATAAACCAAATAAATAATCAAATTACCGGATTGTTGTCCCAAATAGCACGTGAGCGATGAGCTCTTGATCGGTTAAGAGACTCATATCTCTTGGCCCATAATGGATATACAATCGAGGATCGTATATCTCGGCACCCATCTATAAAAAACGTAATGAAATCAGAGATTGTTTTGATAAAAAAATAATCACAAAATCAAATTGTTTCGATTAAAAATAAAAACACAAAAAAAACCTACACGAAGATCCTCTTCGTCCATTTTTTGGCAGAAGCCGAACAGAGGTTCGACGGGTTCGGGTTTGTAAGGGACAGGAGCTTAGGGGGCGGGGGCTTTAGGGTCAAACTCTAGTAATTCTTTCTGATGTGGAAGATCGGACTTAGCCGCAACCACAGAGCATACTTAGAACGAGACTAGAGCGGATAAATTGAGGGAGAAAGAAGTGAAATGGTTGTGGTGTGAGTTGTAAGTGGGGGTGGGGAGGGGGGAAGGTTATTTATAGTTGGGGGAAGGGGGGGAAGGATATGCGAGCATTAATTTGGGGAGCATTCACCGCGTCCCTCAAAGGCGGTGAATGCATCGCCCTTCCCAAAAACGGTTCCATCCTGCGACGTGGCATGCTGTGAGGCGTTGGATCGTGGGAAGAAAATCACGATCCGCGCCTCACCGCATCCAACGGCCACGGTGAAAGCACACTCGACGCGGATCGCTGATGTAAACAAACATGATGTATTCACCGTGTTTGTCTAACGCGGTGAATGCATCGCGTTTGTCCACGGCAGCGATCCGCGTCGCTTCACCGTTTTTGCCAAACGCGGTGATAATCTTCACTGCGTTTGTCAAAAACGGTGAATGACAAACATGTGTAGTTTTGGAATTTTTTTTATAATTTATGTATTTTGGGAATTTTTTTTAAGAAGTAGTGTACTTTGGGATTTTTTCCGCCGCCGGAAAAGCTCAAGTGGCGCCACTAGAAATCGAAATAAAAATATATGTATCCCTCTTAGATTTTGGATTTGTTTGATGGTACAAATTACATATGTAGTAGGTTTGTTGAGGTTGTTATAAAATGAATTATAATTTGGAATTAATAGACGTGTCATTCTAATATCAGATCAGGATTTTGATCGTTTTGATTTGTAAGAGGCTTGCAACATTTTGGTTCTAATGAGTCGAACTTATCCTTGAAATTTTTCATGTTTAATGTAGTAAAAATTACGCTTTAAAATTTAACAACTTAAAATCATACATTTGTAGGTCACCAAAATGTTTTTACGCGACATCTTAGGTTTGAATTACACAGACTACCGCTTATATTACATCGTACGCAAACTACTACTAAAGGTAGGATAATTGTTTTTTTGTCAACTTTTAGGGGAGTCCCGGTCTATCAATTTTTTTTTATCTACATGCAAACTACTACCATGAGTTGGATAATTGTTTTTTCAAATTTTAGCAGTGTCTCGATTCCCATGTATCCGTCATGCCCGCGTGAATATTACCCAGTTGCCGCCCCACCAAAGTTGAACTTATACAAAGTTGCTTCATCTGTTAAGCGAGAACAATAAGCTAAGAAGAAGAAACCTAGCTAGCTAGGAACAGGTAAATGCCACATTTGGTTACTGAGATTATTAAATCGTGTCATGTTTAGTCACTAGAAAAATTTAATATCAATTTGGGTCATTCGAATTACTGAAACATGTCACATTTAGTCACTCTCCCGTTAGCCTCCGTCCTACTCCGGTCACTCGAATTACTGAAGCGTGTCACATTTAGTCACTCGAATTACTGAAACAGGTCACATTTAGTCACTCTCTCGTTAGTTTCAGTAATTCGAGTGACCAAAATTGATATTAAAATTTTTTAGCGACTAAACATGACACAATTTAGTAAGATTAGTGACCAAATGTGACATTCACCCATTTTACCCAGCTAGGAACTGTTCGAATTTTCTAATAGGTAAGTGAACTCTCACTAGGAGACAACTTGGAGAACACTGCTAAAACTACCTCGGAATAGGTCGAAAGTGGCATCTCACCAACTTCAACACTGCTACTAGCAGAGAGGATGGAATTGTATTGAGGATTACACTTTGGATAACTTGAGCCATAATGCTGATGATCATCAGTACTAATTAATTAAGTTCAACAACCAACCTAGGAAAAGTAAAAGTGGGTTTTAAGATTTGATTTTAAAAAGAGCTGAAATGTCGAGTAGAGCATTATGCATTGTTAGGTCACGCTTTTGCTATAAGTAGAGACCAGATCAAAGGGTAAAACACATCACCACCACAACACAAACAATAAACCAAAGCTGCCATTACTCTTAATCCCATCAAACCAACAAAAACAAAAAAGAAATGGCACAGCCGCCGTTGCCGAGATACGTGGTGCTGAAGTGCAAGTACAACAACAAGTACATGCGCTACACACACGAAGACGTCCAGCAACACGGCCTCCTCCAGTTCACCGGCGAGCAAGCCGTGAGCCCTTACGCCAAGTTCCAGGTCGAGCCGTCCAAGACCGTGTCCGGTTTGGTCCACCTCAGGTGCACCTACAACAATAAGTACTGGGTGAGATGGTCCGAGACCCAGTACTGGATATCTGGCGGGGCAGACAACCCCGAAGAGGACCAGTCCAAGTGGTCGTGCACGCTCTTCAAGCCCGTCTTCGTCGAAAAAGACGACCACAAGACCGTCCGGTTCCTCCACGTCCAGCTCAACCACTACGCGTGTCTGTTCCGCTCGGACCCGCCCTTCGGGAACTTCGTGTACGCAGGGTGGGAGGAGCCTAACAGCGACCTTTGCGATGTTTGTGAGATCTTGGACTGGGAGTCTCTCCTCGTGTTGCCCAAACACGTGGCGTTCAAGGGCGATAATGGGCAGTACCTCTGTGCTCGCTGGATCGAAGGCCACGAGTACCTTGAATTCTCTGGCAGCGACCTTGGTGATCCTTCTGTGGGGAATGAGGTCTTTACCAACCCGGATGGAAGCATCCGGATCAAGTCTGATTACTTCAACAAGTTCTGGAGGCGTAGCCCCAACTGGATCTGGGGTGACTCCAGCGACAGCACTGCTGGCAACGCCGACACGCTGTTTTGGCCCGTGAAAGTCGGGAAAAGCGTCGTCGCGTTGCGCAACTACGGTAACAACTACTTCTGCAAGCGGCTGACGACCGAGGGGAAAACGAGTTGTCTTAATGCTGGGGTATCGACAATAAGCAGGGAGGCTCAGATCGGGGTTGAGGAGCTGGTGATCTCGAGGAGCATTTATGATGTGGATTTCCGCCTCATGGATGCTAGAATCTACGACCAGTCCATCGTCACCATGGCCACCGGGGTCGCCAGTAACGGGACGTCGAATCCCAACACGGCGAAAGTGAAGCTGAGCTACACAGACACCAAGAGTAGCACCTGGTCTGGAAATGTGTCCCTCAAGGTCGGAGTGAAGACTACCATCAAGACAGGCATTCCGTTCCTTGCTGAAGGACACATTGAGATTTCTGGGGAATTCTCAGGAGGTTACACTTGGGGTGAAACCAACGAGTCGTCAAACACGTTGGAGACTGAGTACGAGGTCAGTGTGAAGCCCATGAGTTTGACCCGAATCAGTCTGTTGGCCACCAGAGGATCTTGTGACATCCCTTACTCTTATACTCAAAGGGACACTCTCACCAACGGCAGCCAAGTTACTTATCGAATGGATGACGGTGTCTATACCGGTATCAATTCCTTCAACTTCAAATATGAGACCAAGGAGGAAAAGCTCGTCATCTGAATGATGAAGAACTTGTCGTGACCATAGGGGAGGGGGCTAGCTGGTTCTTAAACTATACTAAGCTAAATAACGTCGACGGTCCCAACCTGCAAGCTCCCACTTCTGAATCCTATGTACCTTTATATCATGTGCATATACGATGCATCTATCTCGTGGACCGCGCGACTGCGTGCTTGACGATTTGCTTCTGTATTTTGTTTTATTTGCTTTGTCTGTTTCATTCAATGTATGATATGTGTTTGGTGTGTTGAATTTAAGCTTCATATATGATGGAAGTATTGACCGTTTTGCTAAAATTTAAAGTTATGGAGCACTTCTACTATACTTTGAAGTACACCTTGAAGTTATACAATAACGTTAAAGGTACAAATTAAAGTTGTATCATAAGAGAATTTGACATTTATGTTATGGTACAACTTTAAGATGTGTCATAACATAATGGTACAACTTTAGTTTGTATCATAAACAAATTTTACAAAAAAACATAAGTACAACCTGAAGTTGCACCATAACAATAATGGTACAATCTCAAGTTGTACCATAGAGGCAAAAACTAAAGAACCAATGCTTTGAAGCATTGTAAAATTTCTCAAACTTATGTCATTGTTTCGTGAAACTCTTGATGGGAAGTTCTTCTGAATTGCAAAACTAAAGAACCAATGCTTTGAAGCATTGTAAAATTTCTCAAACTTATGTCATTGTTTCGTGAAACTCTTGATGGGAAGTTCTTCTGAATTGCAAAACAAGCAAAATTTAGGCAGGTTGCAAAATTTTCCCTACCAATTCAGAGGAGCACATGAAAGCAAAGGAATTAGCTATAGTTTGAGTAGAGTTTGTGTTTAGGTGGAAATTAAGGTTGTTTATGCTTTTATATATATATATATATATATATATATATATATATATATATATATATATATATATATATATATATGTTAAATAAACAATCCTTTGTGAGCAATTAACCGGTTTACTTGAGAGTCGAGCCTTCCATGACCGTATCCGGTTTGGTCCACCTCAGGTGCTCCTACACCAACAAGTACTGGGTGAGGTGTGGTTCGAAACTCAGTACTGGATCTCTGGCGGGACAGACAACCTCGAATAGGACCAGTCCAAGTGGTCGTGCACCCTCTTCAAGCTTGTCTTTGTCGACGACAAAGATGACCACAGGACCGTGCGCTTCCTCCACGTCTAGCTCAACCACTATGCCTGCTAATTTTGCTCGAACCCGCCCTTTGGGAACTTCGTGTACGCAGGGTGGGAGGAGCCAAACAGTGACCTCTATGATGTCTGTGAGATTTTAGTTACTGGGAGTCTCTCCTCGTGCTACCGAAACACGTGGCATTCAAGGGCGACAATGGGCAGTACCTCTTGCTTGCTGGATCAAAGGCCTTGAGTACCTTGAATTCTCTGGCAGCGACCTTGGCGATCCATCCGTGGGGAATGAGGTCTTTACGAAAGCATCCGGATTAAGTCTAATTGGTTCAACAAGTTCTGGAGGCTTAGCCCCAATTGGATCTGGGGCGACTCCAGTGACAGCACCACCGACAACGCCGACACGCTATTTTGGCCCGTGAAAGTCGGGAAAAGTGCCATCGTGTTGCGCAACTACAACAATAGCTACTTCTGAAAGCGGCTGGCGACCGAGGGGAAACCAAGTTGCCTTAATGCTGGGGTGTTGACAATAAGTAAGGAGGCCCGGATTGGGGGTGGAGGAGCTGGTGATCTCGAGGAGCATTTATGATGTGGATTTCTACCTCATGAGGTCTTTAAGAAAGCATCCGGATTAAGTCTAATTGCTTCAACAAGTTCTGGAGGCTTAGCCCCAATTGGACCTGGGGCGACTCCAGCGACAGCACCACTGACAACGCTGACACGCTGTTTTGGCCCGTGAAAGTCAGGAAAAGTGTCATCGTGTTGCGCAACTACAACAATAGCTACTTCTACAAGCGGCTGACGACCGAGGGGAAACCAAGTTGCCTTAATTCTGGGGTGTCGACAATAAGTAAGGAGGCCCGGATTGGGGTGGAGGAGGTGGTGATCTCGAGGAGCATTTATGATATGGATTTCTACCTCATGAGGTCTTTACGAAAGCATCCGGATTAAGTCTAATTGCTTCAACAAGTACTGGAGGCTTAGCCCCAATTGGATATGGGGCGACTCCAGCGACAGCACCACTAACAACGCCGACACGCTATTTTGGCTCGTGAAATTCGGGAAAAGTGTCATCGTGTTGCGCAACTACAACAATAGCTACTTCTGCAAGCGGCTGGCGACCGAGGGGAAACCAAGTTGCCTTAATGCTGGGGTGTCGACAATAAGTAAAGAGGCCCGGATTGGGGTGGAGGAGCTGGTGATCTCGAGGAGCATTTATGATGTGGATTTCTACCTCATGAGGTCTTTACGAAAGCATCCGGATTAAGTCTAATTGCTTCAACAAGTTTTGGATGCTTAGCCCCAATTGGATCTGGGGCGACTCCAGCGAAAGCACCACTGACAACGCCGACACGCTGTTTTGGCCCGTGAAAGTCGGGAAAAGTGCCATCATGTTGCGCAACTACAACAATAGCTACTTCTGCAAACGGCTGGCGACCGAGGGGAAACCAAGTTGCCTTAATGCTGGGGTGTCGACAATAAGTAAGGAGGCTCGGATTGGGATGGAGGAGCTGGTGATCTCGAGGAGCATTTATGATGTGGATTTCTACCTCATGAGGTCTTTACGAAAGCATCCGGATTAAGTCTAATTGCTTCAACAAGTTCTGGAGGCTTAGCCCCAATTGGATCTGGGGCGACCAGACATTACATATGCGGTCAATATTCTCAGTCAGTATGTTCATCGCCCCTGTCGGATGCATATGGATGCTGCATACAGGATCTTGCGGTATCTCAAAGCATCTTCGGGCCAAGGATTGTTCTTTCCGACAGCTAACTCTATCCGTCTCACTACCTACTGTGATGCTGATTGGGGTGGTTGTCACAGCACGAGTTACTCCACCACCGGTTACTTCATCGGTCTAGTAGGTGCTCCGGTTTCTTGGCGCACCAAGAAGCCACGTGTTGTTGCTCATTCTTCAACAGAAGCAGAGTACCGTGCTATGGCTAGCATCGTCAGTGAGATCCTTTGGCTTCGCTGGTTTTTACAGGAGCTTGGTGTTTCGCAACCTACCTCTACCCCTCTTCACTGTGACAACCAAGCTGCACTTCACATCGCTGCCAATCTAGTCTTCCATGAGCGTACGAAGCATGTCAAAATGGATTGTTATTTCATCCGTGAACGTGTTCAGTCTGGCGATATCCAGCCTATCAAGGTCCGCTCGGAGTTACAGCTCGCGATATGTTCACCAAAGGCCTCGGTGCAGAGCGCTTCCAGTTTCTTCTTTACAAGTTGAACGTTCGTGACCTCCACACTCCAGCTTGTGGGGGAGTATTGGGCACTAGGCAGAGAAGAATCGTCCGACCAGCCCAATACATTTGATGATCCCATTACATCCCATGTGGCCATGCAAACTCTATTCTCTACATGTACCCTTCCATATACGTGTAGAAATAAACCTAATACCCTAGTAGAGAGTTGTACATGGTATAAATATGATGGTAATTGGCCGAGCAGCCAGCACCACATACTGAAATAAACTAACACATTCTTCTGTGGACGCAAGCCTCCTCAATGCGAGGCTGAACCACGTTAAAATATTGTCTTGTTTACTTTCCGCAGTTCCAATATTTTCATCATGTGCATATATGATGCATCTATATCGTGGACCGCGACTGAGTGCTTGAGAATTTGCTTCTGTATTTATTTTTCATTTGCTTTGTGTGTTTCATTCAATGTAGTATACGTGTTTGATGTAGTGATGTGAAATGGGTGGGTAAACCGCTAGACGCACCTAAACCCACCCAATTATAAGCCACCCACTACATTCACCCATTACATGTTTGGGTGAATGTAGTGGGTGAGTGTGAGTCATTGATTTTGTCACCCACTATATTTGGGTGGGTGGGTAGCGAGTGGGTCATTATCTGCAAAATCACATGATATATTAAGTCGTTAATGCACATTCTATTATAAAACACTATTTTTTCTTCTACCAAAACTTCAATAGTGATTGATTCAATTAAATTAAAATTCTCTTTTATAAATTTTACTTGGTTTACAACATAAATCGATCACTTTAAAATATGATAACTATCAAAAAATATTTTGTGTTCGCAAATTAGACAATTGGTGTTAGCTTATGCAATAAATTATGTTTAATATTTATCATTTTTTTTATTTGTAGTATTGATACAAACAAAAAAATATTGGTAGATTGCAAACTTTTCCCTTAGTTTGAGTGGGGTTTGCAAACTTTTCCAACCTTTGTGTGCAACTTACTGCCATACTCGACCATTCGAGCACCTATCCAATTTGATGTCTACCTGAATCATCTTGCCCTCCATCTAGGCAAGTATTCCCTAGACCTATACAGTTCAGATTAGGGAGCGGATCAGGTGAGTAATTTTATAGTCTACAAATATATTATAGGAGTTGGGAGCAGTTTTTCAGCATTTCAAATTTCGGGCCATGAGACTAAAAGTAGAAAGGGTAGATTTGTCTTCACAATTATTATTTATTATTTATTCATAAGGAAAAAAATGCATCAATCTCAGGATTCGGACCATGTTCTTTTCAAACGAAAGCAACTATCATTGTCAATTATACTAAAGAAATATTTTGTATCTTATTAAATAAAAAATCTATCATCTAAAATCTGAAAATCATATGACTATTCCACTACTCTTAGCTAGCCCACTAACTCTCCCGTAAGTACTTTCCTTAGTGTTTGATATTTGAATTTTCATATTTGAATTATTCAAATTTGATTTTAATAATGAATTTAATTTATATCTATCTTATAAATGGAGGATAATTTTAAAATTGCAACCTAAATATAATTTATTCAAATATTGCATATTGAATTGTAGCAGTGAACATGTATATATGATGTAGAATTCTTAACTTAGTATTAATTTTTAGAACTATCATAAGCAACAATATTATTATTATACTGTGTAAAATACTTAAAGGTTTAGATATTGATATTTCTTTCATTTTGCTTTAGAAACAATACATATATATTGTTATTTCTATCATAAGCAACAATATTGTTATTATACTATGTAGAAACCAAACATATGCAGCAATAGTATTAATTTTTTTCATTTCTTATTAATTTTGTTATTATACGGTGTAGAATACTTACAGGTTTAGATATTGATATATATATGTATTGTTTCTAAAGCAAAAGAAAGAAATACGGTTAAAGGTTATGATTATGTGTTTTCTATTTATGCTAAACTTTTTCAGACAAACTCTTTTTTTGTTATGTCAAATTTTTTTCAATCATAGACAACTAAGTTACTACATCATTAAACATACAAGTAATGAATGATTATTCACAAGTGTTATAACCAAGGTTGTTATACTTCACAAATCACAAATCAGTGGTCAGATTGTTGGGGGAGGGGAAAGAGAGGGAGGGGATGGTGAGTGGGTACTGAGATAGGTAGGTTTTTTTTTTTATGGAATGTGAATTTTTAATAGATATACTTCACGTACATTCTATTTCAATCATTTAATTTTTTTTAAAACTTATATGCACATATATATTTAGAAAAAGGTGTAAAACGGTTCAAAAAAGTTGGACCCAATCAAACCATTAAACTTCAAACAACTTTGGTCAATAATCATTAAGATTACAGTGTTCATCATTCATGAAAAGTTACCACGTTTCAAAAATGGAAAAATAATTTCGATACCACCTTAATATCATATGAAATTTAGCATTTCAAATAATTTAAAAAATTTATATACACATTAATATGTTGTATTCAAATGGCATTCCGACCAATGGGTCGGACACCAAGCTAGTGAGTAAAAATGCATAACCCAATCAGCAGCCGCCACATCAACGCTCTCTGCCACTTATGGAAGGCCTCTAACATTTTCCCATTTAAATTTTAACGAACAATTTCTCTCTGATCTTAAGTCATAATTTAAATTTCTTTATACAGATAAATCAGATTAATTGTGCTCTTCAAAATGAAATCCAATTTGATATATTTTTTGAACCAAAAAAATTGAGACATTTATTACCAGTCTATACCAGATGGATTGATTTGTATTAAATAAGAGCATACCTTATGGTATGAAAGTGTACCAAGATGGTATGAGCATACCAAACTTTAGGATGGTTGAATATATGAAATTAGAAATATACTAACTATCATTTACCACATTTAACATTATTTACCACCAATTACCATCTATACCAGGGTGGTATGGAGTAGTTTTTATGGTCCCGTATTCCCCCCCACCCCCCACCCCCCACAAATTTATAGATTCAATAGATCATGATGAACTCGTTCATTCTGTACAAATATTTTCAAAAACAACTTAAAATGAAGGTGTTATCATATGGTATATAGTTGGTAACGAGAGGTATTTAATTTTTTTCTAAAAAATATTAAAAATAGATCTCATTTTGTAGATCACAACAAACTCGATCCATTTGTGCAAAAAAATTTGAAATCCTAGTTAGAATGAATAAGATCAAGTCCTATTAAGAAAACTAGAAAAAAGAAAATGTTTTAATTCACAACCCTTAGATCTTGACCCACTTAAAATGAAGGGTCAAAATTTGGTTATACAAATTATGCACCATAGGATTATGCCCCTTATCTTGGACCTTCAGACTATATTGGTATTTGGAAAGACCAAATCAAATAAAATATAATACAATTTCAGTTTGATTCTAAGTTGTATGAATTTTCTGAATATAAAAAATGAGCTCCAAGCCTGAAGCCACCAACTAGATGCCCTAACAATTCGTTCTATCCCTCGATTTCTTTTACTTTCAGATCGAAGTTATCATGACATGGTTCGGTAGGGAGTTTTCCCCAAATACAACAATAATTAAAAGAAATTGCTAAAATACATTACTTATAAAAACAATTTCCAAAATACCTTAGTTTTGAGTGGTTCAAGTTCAATTGAACCACTAGTTGGATCGAGTTAGAGAGTCTCAATCCACTTTCTGAGGCAGTGGATCGACGTTGAAATTTCCAATAGCCTCAATTTTGTGCTCGGTTATCCGATTGTAGTGAATTTTTTTTTATTCGACATAACTTTTTGAGGACTACTAACTTTTTTCGTAGAAACATTTTCAGAATGTATGTGAAAATGTGAAAAGTAAAGCTAATACATAAATATTTGGTATTACCGAATACACGTATTATTTCTTGGAATTGAGATTGTGATTGAATTTCAATTGTTATTCGGTATTAGGGATTACGGAATTGGGATCGGTATATACCGAAATACTGACCAATACAGAAATATAAGCTAGTGTGTATTTTATCTTCTCAACTAGACTCCCATTCACTACTACACGACCCTCAACCACCAAGAGTGTCATTTAATTAAACATATATCATTCCATCACTATTAATAGTCGTCTCTCAACCTCCAATTCATCAAATTAACGATTACCAATGATAAGAACTTGAGATGTCTCCTCTCCTCTATTCTCCTTAATAATATCCTAATTCAAGACTCTTTGCTTAGTCTTTTTCCCCTAAATTAAACAATAAAATTTAATTTATATATTTAATTATTAATTGCAAAGGTAATTAATTTTGTGTTCGATAATACCGATTGGGATACCGAAGTACCGATTGGGATACCGAAATATTTAGG